TTTTTAGAGAATCACCACTGATTAAGACCTTCCAAAAACCACTAACTATCTCTGCTAATGGATGGGATACTTGGATGGAAATGAGAAACAGCTACAGATCTTACATTTTTATGAGTTTCCCCATAGCTTCTGTAAACCAAGAATATACTTTACTAAGCTAGGAAAAATCAAAGACTCTGACAGTTATGCTATCAGTGCCAGATGGAATTCTAGGGCCCCAGTTCATGGGCTCTTTAGGGGGACCCCCAAATTAGACTGTGGTTTCACATTTGAAGCATACATTTATTTGTTTAGTTATTAAGCATACATTACCATCTAGGGTAGCGGTATAAGACCAGTAAGCAATTGCACTACCATCCTATAGTTCCATGAACAGCTGTACTGTGTCCGCATTGGGAATAAAAGAGACATAGTCTGAATTCATCTGTTATTTGATATTGAGGGGTTGATGTGCTATAGCAATCATTTGGAATTAGATTTTCCTGTAGGGACAAGAGAATCTAGCTGAGAATGATCACTATAGCACACCAATGTGTGGATGAAGCTATATTCTCTTTCTCCTCTTCTGATAATATAGGCTGTGTGCCTGTTCATTGTAGAAAATACATATCACTATTGTTTTCGGTTTTAATCCTTATTTTTTCTCAGTGGCAAAAATACACAAGTCATAAATACAGGTCATAGATACCATATTTACTCCTGTATTATTAGATTTTAAAATCAAGTTTTATAATCTCCTTGCATTTCTACTTTATTAATGGCTGTTCCCCATTATTTAGCTAACAGATTTTGACAATAAAGAACACAAAGAAAGAACATATTATCCTTGATACATTTGTTACCTTTCATTTCTGTTTGTTCCATTTTAAAGATTATTTGTACCCTTCTAAAAACCTCTAACTTTACCAGTTCTATCCAATTGCCACTACAGTCATAGTTTTGGGATGTCCAGCTATTGTTACATAAATCCAGTCATTGGAGCATCTAACTACATATTACAAGTTTTGTATTCTACAACCCCATAATGCCCTCTTCTTCTAACAACAACCAGAGGAGGGCAATTTGGAGAAGCACCGATTTGGACAGTCACTTAACCATTCTGCACCCATTTCTACTTCAACTCCATTCCCGAAGCAATTTTAGCCTTCTTGAGTTTGTCTTTCAATCTAGATCTAGAAGACAGGTACATCCACAAAAGTAAACTCCCAAGAGAAATGGCATTCTATGAATAACTGATAGTGCAGTCCTAAACAGAGTTACATTATCCGTGGGTTTAGAAGTGTGCATGTTTAGGATTGCACAGTGAATTTCCCTCATTCCCTTCACATTGTTCTATGGAGACTGAATGGCTGAGCTGTTCAAGACATTAACTGTGTGGATGAACAATGTCTATAGCTTTGTAGAGTCTCTGTTCAGATTGGAACTGTGCAGGGAGGGGAGAGGGACTTCAATCCTTCCATCCCCATGTGACTTTGCTGATTGAAACTGCCTCCTCCCACACTGATATAAACCCTTTAAAAGGGAAAAAAAGATGGACATTTGACTCAAGGAAAGACCATATTGTCTTTTGAATAGGAAATCTGGGTGCACCAGACCAGTGTAACAAAGATACTTCTGTTGAAATCCTCAGGCAAACCCTCTCTTATTTACTATGTTTCTTCCAATCAGTTTGGTTCATTTTTATTGCCATCACATATAGACAACTGTAAGAACTACCATATCAGGTTCTTTTTTCTTTTTTTTAAATAAATTTATTTTCCAAGTTTTCACCTTTACATTACTTCAAATTAATTATATTTAAAATATAACAATTAAACAATCAATTATACATCTCCAAAAATCATTCATTATCAACATGTATGGTTCTTGAGTCGTCCTGTTTCACACAATTTGATATCGTTACCTACTGAAAATTTTCATAACAGAAGAGATGCCCAGCTGAAAGGACAAGTGTTCCATTTATGTGAGGAATCTCAGCCAGTTTGTTGTTCATTCTATGCCTTTGTCTAATTCCTCTTTTTGTTATTATTTATGCCCCCCATTTAGGGTGAAGATCCATATTACACAGAAAATGGCAGTCATGGCAACACCGTGATCCCTGTGGCCTCTCATGAACAGCCTGATCTGCAGGATAAACCAAACCTCAATGGAGGGGCCCGGGAAAATGGGACTGGCCAGCCAGCCTCGAAAAATGGACAGTCATGCAAGCCCCATGTTGTTGCTGACACTGAACTGTGAAACATGCAACAGTCAAAAGTCTCATTAAAGTGGCTTGAAACAACAAAGTAGAAGGATAGAGAAGCTAAGAAGCAAAAAGTATTATAAATGGCATCATAATCCTGTTTTGTTTTGAGAAAGTTTCAAAAAAAAACCATTTTAAAGCATTTTTTCCCTAAGAGCTGCCACAGGACTTAGCTGTGTACAAGTTTTTGTTTCCTTAGCAAACTACTTCAGTGGGATTTCTTATCCGACTGGGCATATATGTTTTTGCTCTTTCTATTTCAGACCAAAATGAGATGTGACTGACCTTTACAACTATCCCTCCAAAGAAAAGAGCGAGATTTTGCCTGGAAATCTATGGCATATTTATCATTGTTAGGAAATTGTTCAATAGGGAGAAGGACCTTGTAAAGAGATTTAACTGTAAATGAATGGTGGAACATTTCACACTTGGGTCAGTAGTTCTGATTCATGCCATCATTTTTATGTGGTACAGTGAATCACAGTGCAATCCTATGCATATCTACTCAAAAGTAAGCCCCATTATATTTAACTGTGTTTATTCCCAGAAAAGTATGCATGGGAATAAACCCTCACTCTTGTACATGCTCTATTGCATGACCATGTGGTGAATCACCATAACCTGGATCAACACCTGTTTTGAACATTGCAAGATGTGAAGACTTGCCTTTTGGGTGAATACTGGTACATTTATTAGACTAGTTTACCAAGTTAAACTACCAAAAAGATCAAATTGATTTTTTTTAAAAAAGTATAAAAAACCCACCAATGAGGTTATTTCTTTGGTTGAGTTCTACTTGTCATTCTTACACCCAGTTTAGAAATTCTTCTTTGCCTCTCTGTTTTTTGTGTTGCTTTGCTTACTGGCAGCAACTCTACAACCTATCAGAAATTCAGGGATTACCTAATCTGGCAATCCCTGCGCTACATAGAAAAAGTTCTTTATTAGATTTGCTTCTCAGCAGAAACTAGGTGGCCTTCCAGTTAAAAAACATTATCAAGTGTGGCAAAACAGCTTCCAAAACCAATACTAAAGTGCAGCAGGCAAATGGCCTGAAATTACAAATATCACTCATGTGTTCTGTCTGTTCACGAGGTCTCCATGGGGACTCAGTTTTCATTGTCCATATAAGAACAAGCAAATATAAGCAGTGCCATAGGAAACTTATGCTTGGCTGTAAAGCAGACAGCTTAATCCTTAAAAACTTCATCAATCCTATTCATGTTTAAGTCCCATTGAAATGAATGGGACAAAGTAATCACTAGTCTTTATTATGTGCAATAGGATTGAAGCAAAACTAATAGTGCGGGCCTAAACAGAATTAAACCTTTTAAAGCCAATTGACTTGAATAAATTTAGAAGAGTATAAATGTTGTTAGGATCACACTGTAACTTTCTTTGGATTGGGTCTTCTAATGTATTTCTTAAAAGAACATTTTGGAGGTGTACTTACACCTGTAAATCCAAGTTTTGGCTTTAATAATTTTTGATATCTCAGGTTCTGTGGATTGGTTAAACCCAATATATTAATTGTTCCCTTTCCCTGCCCTGCTAGGAAGCTGTTTCCCCATTTTGTGTTTTATTGCCCTTCCCAAGTTCAACGACATCTAAGCTTTTTTCCAGAGGGTAAGCCTGTTGGTCAGCAGTAGAACCGTTAGATTCAAGTCCAGTAGCAACATAGACACAAACATGATTTTCAGGGCATGTCTTTCTTCTATAATCAAGCTGATTACAATATGCATTGTACCTTAGCATTCTTTACAACACCATTTTCATCTTCTGACTGGGATATAAAGACTCACAGATTTCCATTCCTACTTGTGTCTGATGAAGGGAGCATTGACTCTCAAAAGCTTATACCGTGAAAATCTTGTTGGTCTCTAAGGTTCTCCTGGAGTCAAATCTAACTGATCTAAGGATTTGTTACCAATGTATTGGGGGGGTGTATATAGAGCACAGTATCAAGAATGTGGAGCTGCGGTGGCTCAAGTGGTTAAGACACTGAACTGCAGGCTGTGGAAGATTGGTAGTTCAGCATTTTGAGACCCGAGTGTGCCGCATGACGGAGTGAGCTCCCATCTCTAGTTCCAGCTCCTGCCAACCTAGCAGTTCGAAAGCAAGAAATTGCAAGTAGATAAATAGGTACCACTTCAGTGGGAAGGTAACAGCGTTCCGTGCACCTTGGTGTTTAGTCATGCCGGCCACATGACCACGGAAAATGTCTTCGGACAGCGCTGGCTCTTCGGCTTTGAAATGGAGATGAGCACCGCAACCCTAGAGTCGGATTCGACTGGCTTTCGAGCAAGGGAACCTTTACCTTTACCTTTTACCAAGAATGTGATTAGGCTTTGAAATGAATTATTTTTTGCATGGTCAGCATGGATATTACTGTTTTGCATTTAAACATGTGGACCATCATTAGGAATAATATAGAAAATTCTAGTATGAATTGGAGGCCGCCTTATTTGCTTTGAGATCTCAGACTGTGGCACCGACAGATATGGAGCAATGTATTCCATAGCTGGTGAGTGAGAAAGAGGAAAATGTCTTCCTTTTCTAGAATTCTCCTCATCTGTAGAGATGTCATTAATATGCCTGACTTTGTTGTGTTTCAAGGTTAACTGTAGAATGGAGGACAAATCAGAGGTTAACTTGGGTGTGTGCATGTACAGGGAGTGTCTCATCTTGAATGAATATTGGCAGGCCTTATAAAAATAATAGAGATGCTGACTTAAAATGAGGTACTGGGAATGGAACAGACTGATAGATTAATTTCATTTAACCCACTAGTTTATAGGAAGAAAGAAATCCACAGTAGATACAAAAAGGGAAATGTTTTACTCAGGCTTTGGAAGTTAATTCATCCACACCCTTTCATCATTTTTGGTCAGAAATACTGGCCACTTTATTGAGATCCAAGCCTTTTCCAGTGGGGTATATGGCGTAATCTACAAATTAAGTTCAAATCCAGTTCAAACTAAAGAAGTATATGGCAAAGTTAGGTGAACAGATAGTGTAAAAATATACCTTTAGACTTACTGAGATCCACTGGACAGACAGCAATTTAGGACTGATGGTGGTGTTATCATTTTAGGGCTTGATTAACCTGTGTGACATTTGTTGCCAAATGCCTTTTACAAAGCAGGTCTACAATACAACTTACTTGTGAATAAATTGGTGAGTTAGTCACAGTTTCCAGTCTGAACAGAGTCAAAACAGACTCGGTCTTTTGCTGTGACTTTCAAGGTAGAGACTTGCCACATTCACACGTAAGCCTTGGCTTCACATTATCTTTAATCATTTCATTGGTAAGGGATTCTAGGAATCAAAATATGTAAAGATTTCTATGTACTTGTCAGTGGCACATCAATTAGTGAGAAATTTTTTAAACCCAGTCTTTTCCCATTTTATAACCAGAATTTTGAACTGTACCCAGCACCTTCTGCAAATAAGAACACAAGAGAACAAACGCTTGGGTTTAACTAGCTTATTTAAATGACTAAGGCCCCTGCCACACGGCAGGGGAAAAGGCGCTTGAAGGCGCGGCTTTTAAAAGCCGCGCCAACGTTGAGGCGCCGCGGAGGGATCCCACGGATCCCCCGGCCACGGCGCCTTTTCTCCCCGGCGCGATCAAACGCCGGGGAGAAAACACGGCCCGAACGGGAGCCGGCCGAACTGCGCATGTCCGGGCATGCGCAGTTCGGATCCGGGCCGGGGTTGAGCCGGCGCAGGGAAGCGGCGGCGATCAAACGCCCCAGTTGCCGCGCCGCTTCCCTTTAAACCACCTAGATAGGTGGTTCAGTTTGCGCCGGCTCATCCCGGGAAAGGGACAGTTTGGGTACGGAAGCCGGACGCTTCCCAGATGTTGTGGTGTGATCGCGCCAGTTTGATCCGGCCCCAAACTGTCCTGCTCCCGGACCAAATCGGTGAGTGTGAACGGGACCTATGTGTCATAAAGTATTATTTATTAAGGCATGGTCTGTACTAGGCAGCCTTTCATGGCTACCGCCATTTGGTAACACCACCTTGGCTTCAAACTCAGCCAGCAGTTTCTGTGCCAGTTTTATCTGCCGTTACCTGAATGTTAACTGTGCCAACAGGTACCCAACTTCATCTCCCACCCCATCCCTTCACCATGTGCTATACAGATGTTTGGTGGATCTTACTCAGCATTCATGGCATTCCTTCCCAAAGTATCCTTGCTATAGAATGTATGATGGGATGTTCAGGAACACACACACATCCAGTCATTGCATGATGTCTCAGGGTGCTCATTGCTTCATCCACCTATAATAAGCAACCCACCCTATTCCAGACAACCTAGTTATGGTCTACCCAGTCCCAGCACCAGGCCTAGGTATCCCAAATCTTCCTGAGGCAACATGAAGCAGGCAAAAAGAGGTTCCCCAGAAACTAATTATCTGAGACCCCCAAAATTCCTCTGCAGTCCTGAAGCAACCAGCTAATCCTGTGTTGCCACAAGCAAGGGTGGGTGGGTGGGTGGGCAGGCAGCAGTAAGCAGCAAAAGCCTTGTGGATGTGGTGGAGATACACTTTTATGCTCTCCTTTTTGTCATCTCTCATAGTTGGGCAATTTACTGTTCCAGCCAATCAGTGCCTTGTGCCTCATTTGCTTTTGAAGGTGCCAGGACAACAGGACAACAAGGCCTAATGCCTATGAATGAACATATGGACCTGATTTTGGTGACAGCAGACTTTAATTATGATGGAGTCTTTGGCTATGATCTCAAATCATACCTTAACTCTTAGTTAAGTAAACAGCAGGCTCCCTAGACTGCAGTTCTGAATTCTTATTGAGATCACTTATGTATGTGTGCTAGTTTGATTCTGGTCCAGGAGAAAAGACAGCAGGAACCAATGAATGCTATATAGGTAGAGGTTCTGTGACTTAGCTATGTAAAAGGTAGAAATCACAGGTGATGTTTCCCTATCAGTAGATCTCCAGTAGGAATGGGACTGGAAAGAAAAAAGGGCCCTGGAAAAGGGCCCTGTCCCACTAGCCTTCCCCAGCCATGACCCCAGAGGCAGGGGCAGCCTGCCAGCTCTGCCTCTGTCCCACCTACCCAAAGGAAGGAGGGAGGGACAGACAGCCTGACTGCCCAGTGACCACACACAGCATTTCCATCACATGAGGCTCAGGTGTGGCCATTCTTCCACTGGCCAAGCCTTGGTGTCTGTTGGGGAAGCTATTGGCCCACTAGGAAAAGTCTTAATGGCTACAATGGCCAGTCTGTCCCTGATGTCCATGCTGGAAAAACCTCAGCTGCAGAGTCTAGAAAAGTCTGGAAGAGAGCATAAAGGATTCTCTCTCTCTCTCTGTCTCTCTCACACACACACACACACAAACAGAGAGAGACAGAGACAGAGATCACAAATGTTTGTGTTTCCATCTCATAGACTCAATCAAGGAAAAGGCACTACATGTCAGTATGTGTGAGGGGAAAAGCCTTACCCCATCTTAACTCAAACAGTGACAGGAGGAGCTTAAAGAACCAACTGTGCCTACTTATTTTAAAGAGTCATTTCCAGGCATATTTGATATACGTCGACTGAGTTTCAAGTAAGATATCTGGATAAGAAAATGAGTTCACAAAAAGCTGTAGCAACTAGCAATATAATGATTAATGCTTCAGAATATATAAAGGAAACTATTCCTTTGCTCAAACAGAAACCCAGCTTTGCCAGCCAGTAGAAATCTGCATTTTTATAGCTTTTATGTATGTTACTTACTGAAGTATAGGTGAAAATAACAGTGGGGTAATGTTTTAACCCAGCTAAGTTGGCTTTTTCAACACCTAACTAACTTATTACCACACTATAAACAGAAGCACACATTGCTTAGAAACGGTATTGTCCAATGATGGTGCAAGCCCATTTAACTGTGATAGGAACACTGATTAATTTAAATTTTCTGGTTTATCTAATTTAGATTATTTCAAGAGAATAAACTGTTATTAATAAGGTACTGAATAAACACAGTTCCTCAGTCAAGAGCCTTTGGAATATTAAGAACATCCGTCTAGTCCAGCATCCTGTCTCACACAGTGGTGAACCAGTTCCTCTGGAGGGCCAACAACAGGGGATAGAGGCTGAGACCACTGTTCCCTCTAAGATGAGTTAGTGTGAGCTAGCTCACAGTTTTTTAGCCTCCAGCTCACACATTTCTGTCTTATGGCTCCAGAGCAAACTAATTTATGCAGTAGCCAAATCGCTTGCTCACAACTTTAATGCCAGTAGCTCACAAAGTAGAATTTTTGCTCACAAGACTCCACCTCTTAGAGGGAACATTGGCTGAGACCTTCCCCTCATGTTGCCTCCTGACACTGGGATTCAGAGTTTACTGTCTCTGACAATAGAGTTACCATGGCTAATATCCACCGATAGACCTCTCAGCCATGAATCTTTCTAATCCCATTTTAAAGCTGTCTATGCCTGTGGCCATCACTACATTCTCTGGCAGTGAATTCCACATTTTAATCAGTCATGTAAAGAAGTATTCTGTTTTGACTGTCCTGAATCTACTGCCCATCATCTTCTAGTGTTTTGACAGCGAGAAAAAGACCCCAAGATCTTTTTTCCTCTAATTCTCAGCAAGTTCAGACCCTATTAGCATATACTTGAAGCTGAGATTTCAGTCTGCATCATATCATACTTGCCAGTTAATTTGTCATATTGTTTCCCACTCACCCAGTTTGTGGAGATCTTTTTGGATCTCTTTATCATCCTGAATAATTGTGTGTCAT